CTGTGGTAATTGACAGAAAGAAGAACAGATTTAAAATGCAGCCAGCAGAAAGTGTATCCAGCAAATCTGCTGCAAAAGAAAAAGAAAAACAAGAAAGGTTATAAAGAAAATAGTGATTGGAAGTTTTTACAGTATGACTGCATTATACTTAACAGCAATATTAAAAGATAAAACAATACTGAAAATTCACATTCTTAACTACTGCTGATAATAATACAGTTGTACATAGATTGGCTCTGAAGGGCTCTAAGTGCCATCTGTAAACATCAAAGCATTTATTCTTCTATGAGCATCAGTGGAATTGCAGGCACTTGGTACCATTTAGGATTAGGTCCTTATAACCATTCTGTCAGTATTTTGCATCTTGAAAGAATTAACCAGAAAAAAAATTATACATTAAGGCAAAAGTTTTTTCTCGGCAAAATTACAAATAATGAATGTAACAGAAAATCTATAGATGGGGGTAAAAGTGACATCATTAATCACCAAATGAGGGGACTTAACTCTATAATTCATAGAAAAAAATATTATAGCAAATTAAAAGAATTGCATCCTGTCCTGTGAGGTGCACAGTAGCATCCCTGGAAAGGCTTTCCAAAAGAAGTTGGGGACACTCACAAGCACCTTGCAGGGTCAGGCTCTGAGAAAAGAAAAAAAAAAAGGAAAAGAAAAAGAAAAAGACAGTGAAATTAATTATCTCAAAAATAGGTAGAACAAAGTTAGTAGCATGATGCCTAACTGAGTCTGGCAATAAATTACAAGCAGATTATATGTAATCAATCTATTTTAACTCATGACTTTGACATTGCTGTGCGTTATGATGGGTTCATATCTTAATATTATTTTATCAAGTATAGCTAAAACAAGCAAACATGTCTAGGTAAATTATTCTTTGTTATAATACCATTCAGAAACAAAGATTTGCAATTCTTTCTCTTCCTCATTATATCTTTGTCCAGCTTTAAAATTTATTTCCAATGTGCAAGAGTATTCTAATCAATTAAGAGATTTAATCATCATGCCTGGCCTTGGAGACGCACTCTTGATAGGGACTTTTACTTTATGCTTAAATCTTGTCTTTAAATCTTTGATATTGAATACGAGTTAATGCATGTGCATAACATATTTGAGCAAAAAACTGAAAATCACTGCAACACAGTAGAATGTCACCAGCACAATAATTAATAATATTATAGAGTTTAATTACTAAATCAATATTAATGTATTTTCCTAATTTCTCAAATCATTAAAGCCACTCTGTTAGAAATCCTGGGATATGCATGCTTTATGAAAGATTTTTTTTTTAATCTATCATATAATCAAAGCTGTCTGAATAAAACATCTGTCACTTCAGAAAATGCAATTTTCTTCACAACAATATTTCAAACACATTAAAATTCAGAAGATCAAGTGTTCTGCTTTTATGCTCTTAATGTAATGTTAAAACACCTCTCGTCTTAAAAGTCTGTACTTGACAAAGAAATGTTTCATTTGGTTCTCCAATGTAATACTGACATGCTGTTCAAAAAAGTTGATTGGGTTCTAATTAAACATTGTGACCTGAATTCTTCTATTACTTTGTAGTAAAACTAGATCAGAAGTTTACCATCTTATTGAAAAGATAAGTATCTTTCATATCATTTTGTTGTCAAACCAACAAAACCTGGAAACCAAGCACTCAGTGAAACTGAAACAGATTTTTACATTCTTTTACTGAAAGGTATTTGAAGATGATATTGGAAAATATCTTGTTCTTGCAAGGACAATGTTTGCTAGATAAAGCAAACATATTTCATAGATTTTAAAAAAATTTCAATCTGCAAATTTTATTTTTAGTGGCTGCAATTTTACTGAACAATCTCAAACATAATTTGATAACTTTACCTTTTTGTTCTGATATCTTATCTTGTTTAATTATTTTGATATTGTTGTGAAGAGCAGAAAAATGGTCCTTATTTAAAAAGGAAGAAATATCCTAAAACAGGAGCTGACTTCAGGAAAAAGAAGCATTGCAGTCTGAGTCCTAGACTCAGTCTAGGACAGACACCATCCCATAGTTTTAGAATTCTCTATTTTTTATTTTTCAGTCCACAACATAGGATATAAAATGTCTTTTTTTTACAGATACTTAGAAGTGTTTAAAAATGCATAAGAAAAAATAAAAGAAAAGAAAGTAAGGAAAATAAAATTGGCCTATAATGGATAAATGTTGTCCCACCTTATTTTAAAGTCTATTATTAGATTGTCTGATGTAAGAATCTTATGCTACAGATCCTTTAATTAATGTTTTGTATGTATTACATATGTGTACAAGTTTTATGCTGTTTAACCCATTGCAATAAATATTTGCAAATCATAGAGTTATAGAATAAATTCAGGTTCACTCAGGACGTCATATAATCCAGCATCCTGCTCAGGGTAATGTCAACCACTAATTCAGAACAGAAGGTCATCCAGTCAGGTCTCCAAAGAGAAAAATTCCACAACTTCTCTGGGCAACAGGTTCCTGTCTTTAATTATCCTAATAATGATTTTTTTTTCTTTATGTCATGATGGAACCTCCCTTGTTTCTAAGTATAAAGCACTACACAGCTTTGGAAAGAGCCTGACTCCATGTTTTTTGATCAGCTCCTTTTATTAGAAAGTGCCTAGTAGGAAAACTCTTCCTGTCTGATGTTAAAAAAAGCCCAGCTCCGCCAGCCTCTCTTCACAAGTCTTGTACTCCAGACCCCAAGAAGCTTGGTGACCCTTGCTCAAGTTTATTCAAGTATTGGGGGCCCCAGAACTGCTCACAGTATTTAAATGTGGTCTAATAAATGCGATTATGGGAATAATCACTTTCCTTGATTAACTGACTACACTCCTACTAATGTAAATGCTCATTAGCTCAATCAAGAAGACAAGCATAAGACAAAAAGGAAATTTCAGTACTCAGATGAGCTGATGCAATTTTGAAGATTGATCTCCCTGATAGCTGGTAACAGGTACTCCTCCCATTTACCCATCTCTATTAGTGTTTATTCTAACATTTCAGATACAGTCTCTCTACTTAATCTCTAACACATTCAGGTGTTTGAAATACTTGAAAAAAGAGACTTTAAATGAGCTTTACAAAACCTATGCTCCGCTTTTCCTCTTTGCTGCTACCCACTGAAAAGTTAGAATTACTCTTCAAAAACTATTGGCTAGTACAAGCAGTGTTTAGAAGTCAGCAATCTTAGCAGTCCACAGGAAAGGGAAGATTTGTGTCAAATATGATTCTACTTTAGGGACATTCCATGATATTAGAAATTAAAATTAGTATGCCCAATGAGCAGACAGAAGATCTACTTCAGAATTGCATCATTTAATTTAGAAATTATTTGAGACAGACTATAATTTATTTAACCTCTGTATTCATACAGTGTTTCTAATAATGGAGTCTTGATCTTACAGGCCTGCTAAGTAAAAATAATAGTGAATATTTAAAAACAAGAACAGTTTTTTGGAAAAACCTGCTCAGATAATTCTCTGATCAGATACTGGATATTTCAGTGCAGCCTCTGAGTATATGGGAAGAACAGAAATTATCATAAACAATGTCTGATGAGAGGGAATACCATATTATGTTCAGCATAGCTACATAGTTAGAGTCATGAATGAACAGTGTAAATGAAGAGTGACTATCTGGTTGTGGAACCTCTCAGTGCTCTTTATGTGCAATGCACATAAAGGAGACCCGCTTTAGCAAAGCTGCTTTTCTATATCCTATGGAAGATGGTATGCAGGGGCAGAAAGTGGAAAATGTCTCACGATTCTAGCCTTTCAGATCCTAGAAAGTTCAGCTCAATACAAAACTCTGCTAGTCCTCTAAGGCAAGACCTATATAGACAGCATCATTTAAGAGGTCCCTTCTCAGGCATAAACTTTCTGGTTGTCTACACTGAGAATGCCTGCTTTTAGACTCAATAGCAGTCCATCTTGAGCCTGTTTGGCTTAAGGACCTGGTATGGTATCAACTGTAGCCTACTGCTAGCATCTCAGCCTCCCTTTTTATTTAGGAGCTTGTTTTTGCACACTCTGGGCACAGGAAGTCATCTTGCCATGATGATACAAGATACTGTTCCTTAATTCTTGACCTTCAGGCACGCACTCCTCCTCTCCAGTGTCCATAGGTTGAGACAAACTTAGGAAGAGACGTTTGACTAATTCTGGATAAACTAGAGCAGTTTCTACAGTTTTGGTCAGTAAATAAAGATACAGTCTTATAGAGAGCCACAGGACTCAGTCTAGATGACCTTAAATGTGGTTGTAGATACAATAATGATATTGTAGATAATGTGATTGTTTTGTGCTCGTAAAGTATGCTCAGTGCAGTACATTCTGTCACACACTGACTGCTGTTTTCAGTTGCTTTCATAAAAGATGTGGTCTAGCATGTTCTATACAAATCGACTCAATTCAAAGCTGCTGAGAATGTATATATAAAACTGTACCCTCCACCAGTTTAAGTAGTTTTCAACTCAAAAATCTATCAGTTTCTCTCTGATATTATTTTGTTTTAAAAGCAAATTAACAGACATGTTTAGTACAGACTCTAATATCTGGAGTTAAAGACATTTTTAATTTAAGCTCTATTTTCTGGAGAGCAATACAACTTATTAAAAACAGAAGAAAACACAAACACTGCAATTTAGAGGGAAGAGAAAATGGATTAGTGGAGTAATATTTGCAATTTGTTTTTCATTATACCAACACATGGCTGTCTAGGAGTGTTACACAGAACTGAATTTATACCAGTTGGGAACATACAGTTAGTCCTTATTGGATAAAGACTGGTTGGCCCCATTACTAACACTTACATACCGTTTGAGTTTTCTGTGTTGTTTTCAGATATTTACAAAACAGGTGTGTACTGTCATTAAATCATATACAGCATGTTACCTGTTAAATTCCTACAGACAACTTTCACCAAAAATCTAAAACAGTCTCTCTTTTTTAGGGTGGGGAGAGATGCAGAG